TTCAGTAGCAAGGTGTGTAGTAGCGTGCACAGAATTCCATGGCAAGGGGTGGGTTGGGTTTGGGGTTTCCTGTTTTCTTTCAGATTATTTATTGCTCAGCAGTGCTGAGGCTGCTGGCGAAGGCAGGCTTTGCTCCCTCTCCCCAGAGCTGGGGATGAAGCGCTGCCGTGGGGCCAGGCACACCCAGCCTGGGGGGTGGTGGTGCCTTTTGCTCCCTGTTTGGAAACCAGAAATGACTAAAGACCAAAGGAACTGGTACCTGAAACACTACTGGGTTTCCAAACTCTGTCCAGCCAGTGCTTTCCCACTGTGTTCATAGAGCAGCTCCCTGGTCCCTCGTGCTACTGCAGCTGAGCAGCTTCTCTGGCTGTAATCAAGTTATCAAATAGGGTTAATGAGATACTTCATGTGTTCCTTCATCTGTAGGGTTTTTAGTCATAAATAAAGCAATTCCTTCTACCAGAGAGATAAAAAATGGTAGGGGCATTATGTGCCACCTGCACTGAGACCTGAGCTGGATTTGCCATTCACTCCTGGAATTGTTGAGCTGTGGATATCCATATTTTTGTAGTAAGTGACTGGTTTTCTTCATCTTGCATGTTATATAAACTGGTCTAAATCAGCAACCAATAAATTATGGCAACAGAAGCTGGTGTACAAGACAGTACTTGACCTGTAATCCCTGTACCTTTCACTGAGCCCTTGGAGCTTATTGCTTAATACAGTGTGGACAAAAGCCCAGGAAAAGGGAATTTTCAAGTGCAGTAAGCACATATCTCAAGAACTGGCATGAGCTTTTTTTTCTTTTTGAACTAAACCCCCATGAATAAACTTTAAAGGCGTGAATTTTTGTAATTTGGAGGGGCCACCTCAGCTGGCCTACGGAGAATAAATGAGAGTAAATGTGCTGCTGAATAAGGGGTTGCCAAGGCAGCAGCAGCAGGGGGAGCAGCCCGGGCTTCTGGCACCACTTCTTCTAAAATAACTTCCTTCTGGTGCCTGAAGGGAAGGGAAAAGGGTCGGGAAAACATCACTTGTCTACGATCAGTTTTCAGTCCTGAAACGTGTCAGGGCTGAGCTGCTTTGTGAAGGTTAAAAGCCTCTGTATCAGGGGAACTACTGGAGGAAGGACTGAGGACTTAAGAGGTGCTCGAGGAAGAGGCAGATCAGATAAGGAGCTTAAAAGGTGACTGGGATGAAAGATGCAGTGGAGTTGAACTTGGAGAGACTCTGGTGCAGTTCCCTCAGTGGTGGTGGAGAGGGGTGCTGTGGGATCTGGGAAGGCTGCTGCAGCTCTTGGAACACAGGAGTACTTGGGTTTATTTTCATCAGAAGGGGAAAACAAGCCTGCAGAAGAGGAGAAGATGTGCAGTCAGAACTCGGATTTCTCATCCTCACTTTCGTTTTCTCACATGATACCTCTACACAGTCGGATTGGAACTGGTACACTGGGCTGCCAGCACTGGCTCCAGGACCTGCCAGCCTTGTCCCTGGCTGCTTTGAGATGACCTTTGATTAGATTACCTCTCCTTACATGCACTATTTTATATTTAGCTATGTTCAAGCTCACCTGGTCCCCCTTTGTAAGGACTTTTTTTGAGGAGAAGCCCTGAGAGCTGGCTCTGCCCTTGGCCCTTCCAGGAGCTGTCCAAACCCGCTGCTGAGGAGCCATGGAATGTAAACCACCTGTTAATGTGCAGGGTAACTGCTGTGGTGTTTGTTTGTTTGTGTTTAGAATCATAGTATCATAGAATCATCAGAGTTGGAAGAGATCTTTAAGATCATCGAGTCCAACCATCAGCCCAGCACTATAACTCCCAAACCACTAAACCACATCACCCAGTGCCGGATCCAGACGCATTTTAAACACCTCCAGGCGTGGGGACTCCAGCACCTGCCTGGGCAACCTATTCCAATGCCTGAATTTCTACCGGGAATGGAGCTCTGTGCTCCAGCACCAGCGCATCTGAGGGAGCTCAGCAGTCGAGCCCTCATCTCTCATGAGGCGCCGGCTGAGAAAGCCCACAGGATTTATATTAAAAAAAAAAAAAATATTAAATCGTGGTTTTTTGAACGTTCTGCAACTGAAGAGCGTTACTGTGCAAACCGAGGATCGCGCGCCCTCGCCCTGTGAGAACCACGGGGACTAAGGAGGGGAGCCGGGACAGGGCGGCCCGAGAGA